ACCATTTTCGACTCGTAAAGATCAGTACTCTAGATTTGTATTAAAAAAGGGGAATTCGCAATTTTGACCAAAATCGACATAATGGCAAGGGAGATATGACGTTCCAAAACGACATAACTCCGCTTGGAGATATGACGTTCCAAAACGACATAATTCCGCTTGGAGATATGTCGTTCCAAAACGACATAACTCCGCGGGGAGATATGACGTTCCAAAACGACATAGCTCCGCGCGAAACTATGACGTCCCAAAACGACATAACGCCGCGCGGAGATATGACAAATCATCACATTTTCTTTTCAAAATCGAGGTCGGTTTGAAGTTCGAAAATTTGTTGATTATTTTTTTTGATTATCTCAGGTAAATTATGTCTGATTTTAAAATGTTATACCTTTTTGAATGCGTATGGATCCTTACCATCAATTGGCATTCAAACATATTTAACATCGGTGGGTTACAAAATATTGTTGACAAAAAACTAACTCGTTTGTAAAGTCAACCTTTTCTGATGATTTTTTTGAATATTTCTGCCAAATACTGTCCGATTAAGGAGTTTTATACCATTTTCGACTCGTAAAGATCAGTACTCTAGATTTGCATTAAAAAAGGGGAATTCGCAATTTTGACCAAAATCGACATAATGGCAAGGGAGATATGACGTTCCAAAACGACATAGCTCCGCGCGGAGATATGACGTTCCAAAACGACATAACTCCGCACGGAGATATGACGTTCCAAAACGACATAACTCCGCGCGGAGATATGACGTTCCAAAACGACATAACTCCGTTTGGAGATATGACGTTCCAAAACGACATAACTCCGCGGGGAGATATGACGTTCCAAAACGACATAACTTCGCGCGGAGATATGATGTTCCAAAACGACATAACTCCGCGCGGAGATATGACGTTCCAAAACGACATAACTCCGGGGGGGGGGAGATATGACGTTCCAAAACGACATAACTCCGCGGGGAGATATGACGTTCCAAAACGACATAACTCCGCACGGAGATATGACGTTCCAAAACGACATAACTCCGCGCGGAGATATGACGTTCCAAAACGACATAGCTCCGCGCGAAGCTATGACGTTCCAAAACGACATAACGCCGCGCGGAGATATGACAAATCAAAACATTTTCTTTTCAAAATCGAGGTCGGTTTGAAGTTCGAAAATTTGTTGATTATTTTTTTTTGATTATCTCAGGTAAATTATGTCTGATTTTAAAATGTTATACCTTTTTGAATGCGTATGGATCCTTACCATCAATTGTCATTCAAACAAATTAAACATCGATGGGTTACAAAATATTGTTGACAAAAAACTAACTCGTTTGTAAAGTCAACCTTTTCTGATGATTTTTTGGAATATTTCTGCCAAATACTGTCCGATTTAGGAGTTTTATACCATTTTCGACTCGTAAAGATCAGTACTCTAGATTTGTATTAAAAAAGGGGAATTCGCAATTTTGACCAAAATCGACATAATGGCAAGGGAGATATGACGTTCCAAAACGACATAGCTCCGCGCGGAGATATGACGTTCCAAAACGACATAACTTCGCGCGGAGATATGACGTTCCAAAACGACATAGCTCCGCGCGGAGATATGACGTTCCAAAACGACATAACTTCGCGCGGAGATATGACGTTCCAAAACGACATAACTTCGCGCGGAGATATGACGTTCCAAAACGACATAACTTCGCGCGGAGATATGACGTTCCAAAACGACATAACTCCGCGCGGAGATATGACGTTCCAAAACGACATAACTTCGCTTGGAGATATGACGTTCCAAAACGACATAACTCCGCGCGGAGATATGACGTTCCAAAACGACAAAACTTCGCGCGGAGATATGACGTTCCAAAACGACATAACTCCCCGGGGAGATATGACGTTCCAAAACGACATAACTCCGCGGGGAGACATGACGTTCCAAAACGACATAACTCCGCGGGGAGACATGACGTTCCAAAACGACATAACTCCGCGCGGAGATATGACGTTCCAAAACGACATAACTCCGTTTGGAGATATGACGTTCCAAAACGACATAACTCCGCGGGGAGATATGACGTTCCAAAACGACATAACTTCGCGCGGAGATATGATGTTCCAAAACGACATAACTCCGCGCGGAGATATGACGTTCCAAAACGACATAACTCCGTTTGGAGATATGACGTTCCAAAACGACATAACTCCGCGGGGAGATATGACGTTCCAAAACGACATAACTCCGCACGGAGATATGACGTTCCAAAACGACATAACTCCGCTCGGAGATATGACGTTCCAAAACGACATAACTTCGCGCGGAGATATGACGTTCCAAAACGACATAACTCCGCTTGGAGATATGACGTTCCAAAACGACATAACTCCGCGCGAAGCTATGACGTTCCAAAACGACATAACGCCGCGCGGAGATATGACAAATCATCACATTTTCTTTTCAAAATCGAGGTCGGTTTGAAGTTCGAAAATTTGTTGATTATTTTTTTTGATTATCTCAGGTAAATTATGTCTGATTTTAAAATGTTATACCTTTTTGAATGCGTATGGATCCTTACCATCAATTGTCATTCAAACAAATTAAACATCGATGGGTTACAAAATATTGTTGACAAAAAACTAACTCGTTTGTAAAGTCAACCTTTTCTGATGATTTTTTGGAATATTTCTGCCAAATACTGTCCGATTAAGGAGTTTTATACCATTTTCGACTCGTAAAGATCAGTACTCTAGATTTGTATTAAAAAAGGGGAATTCGCAATTTTGACCAAAATCGACATAATGGCAAGGGAGATAGGACGTTCCAAAACGACATAACTCCGCTTGGAGATATGACGTTCCAAAACGACATAATTCCGCGCGGAGATATGACGTTCCAAAACGACATAACTTCGCGCGGAGATATGACGTTCAAAAACGACATAACTCCGCGCGGAGATATGACGTTCCAAAACGACATAATTCCGCTTGGAGATATGTCGTTCCAAAACGACATAACTCCGCGGGGAGATATGACGTTCCAAAACGACATAACTCCGCGGGGAGATATGACGTTCCAAAACGACATAACTCCGCGGGGAGATATGACGTTCCAAAACGACATAACTCCGCGGGAAGATATGACGTTCCAAAACGACATAACTTCGCGCGGAGATATGACGTTCCAAAACGACATAACTTCGCGCGGAGATATGACGTTCCAGAACGACATAACTCCGCGGGGAGATATGACGTTCCAAAACGACATAACTTCGCTTGGAGATATGACGTTCCAAAACGACATAACTCCGCGCGGAGATATGACGTTCCAAAACGACAAAACTTCGCGCGGAGATATGACGTTCCAAAACGACATAACTCCCCGGGGAGATATGACGTTCCAAAACGACATAACTCCGCGGGGAGACATGACGTTCCAAAACGACATAACTCCGCGGGGAGACATGACGTTCCAAAACGACATAACTCCGCGCGGAGATATGACGTTCCAAAACGACATAACTCCGTTTGGAGATATGACGTTCCAAATCGACATAACTCCGCGGGGAGATATGACGTTCCAAAACGACATAACTTCGCGCGGAGATATGATGTTCCAAAACGACATAACTCCGCGCGGAGATATGACGTTCCAAAACGACATAACTCCGTTTGGAGATATGACGTTCCAAAACGACATAACTCCGCGGGGAGATATGACGTTCCAAAACGACATAACTCCGCACGGAGATATGACGTTCCAAAACGACATAACTCCGCTCGGAGATATGACGTTCCAAAACGACATAACTTCGCGCGGAGATATGACGTTCCAAAACGACATAACTCCGCTTGGAGATATGACGTTCCAAAACGACATAACTCCGCGCGAAGCTATGACGTTCCAAAACGACATAACGCCGCGCGGAGATATGACAAATCATCACATTTTCTTTTCAAAATCGAGGTCGGTTTGAAGTTCGAAAATTTGTTGATTATTTTTTTTGATTATCTCAGGTAAATTATGTCTGATTTTAAAATGTTATACCTTTTTGAATGCGTATGGATCCTTACCATCAATTGTCATTCAAACAAATTAAACATCGATGGGTTACAAAATATTGTTGACAAAAAACTAACTCGTTTGTAAAGTCAACCTTTTCTGATGATTTTTTGGAATATTTCTGCCAAATACTGTCCGATTAAGGAGTTTTATACCATTTTCGACTCGTAAAGATCAGTACTCTAGATTTGTATTAAAAAAGGGGAATTCGCAATTTTGACCAAAATCGACATAATGGCAAGGGAGATATGACGTTCCAAAACGACATAACTCCGCTTGGAGATATGACGTTCCAAAACGACATAATTCCGCGCGGAGATATGACGTTCCAAAACGACATAACTTCGCGCGGAGATATGACGTTCAAAAACGACATAACTCCGCGCGGAGATATGACGTTCCAAAACGACATAATTCCGCTTGGAGATATGTCGTTCCAAAACGACATAACTCCGCGGGGAGATATGACGTTCCAAAACGCCATAACTCCGCGGGGAGATATGACGTTCCAAAACGACATAACTCCGCGGGGAGATATGACGTTCCAAAACGACATAACTCCGCGGGAAGATATGACGTTCCAAAACGACATAACTTCGCGCGGAGATATGACGTTCCAAAACGACATAACTTCGCGCGGAGATATGACGTTCCAAAACGACATAACTCCGCGGGGAGATATGACGTTCCAAAACGACATAACTCCGCGGGGAGATATGACGTTCCAAAACGACATAACTCCGCGGGGAGATATGACGTTCCAAAACGACATAACTCCGCGGGGAGATATGACGTTCCAAAACGACATAACTCCGCACGGAGATATGACGTTCCAAAACGACATAACTCCGCGCGGAGATATGACGTTCCAAAACGATGGCCTTTATATATTTTTCTCCCTATTGAATTTAAATGTGTTTTTATCCTTTCAGACTGACAAATTAAGGACTACAATGAGCTATAAGGACCTCCACGACTGAGCAAGCAAATTTTTCCAGAATTCACCTTTAATTAAGCCTGATATACTTATTTTAAGTTTAAATAAGCTCAAATTATAATTTAAGCTCGATTTTTATAATTTTAAGAAAAATAATTAAGAAAATAAGCAAAAAACAACAACCATTTTGTAAATAAATCAATTATTTAAAAGAAAAAACAAATTTCCGGTTTTTTTATTTAAAAATTCAAGAAAAAAAATGTTGTTGCATATATATGACGTTCCAAAACGACATAACTCCGCGCGGAGATATGAAGTTCCAAAACGACATAACTCCGCGGGGAGATATGACGTTCCAAAACGACATAACTCCGCGGGGAGATATGACGTTCCAAAACGACATAACTCCGCGGGGAGATATGACGTTCCAAAACGACATAACTTCGCTTGGAGATATGACGTTCCAAAACGACATAACTCCGCTTGGAGATATGACGTTCCAAAACGACATAACTCCGCCCGGAGATATGACGTTCCAAAACGACATAACTTCGCTTGGAGATATGACGTTCCAAAACGACATAACTCCGCGCGGAGATATGACGTTCCAAAACGACATAACTTCGCGCGGAGATATGACGTTCCAAAACGACATAACTCCGCGCGGAGATATGACGTTCCAAAACGACATAACTCCGCGGGGAGATATGACGTTCCAAAACGACATAACTCCGCGGGGAGATATGACGATCCAAAACGACATAACTCCGCTTGGAGATATGACGTTCCAAAACGACATAACTCCGCGCGGAGATATGACGTTCCAAAACGACATAACTCCGCGCGGAGATATGACGTTCCAAAACGACATAACTCCGCGCGGAGATATGACGTTCCAAAACGACATAACTCCGCCCGGAGATATGACGTTCCAAAACGACATAACTCCGCGGGGAGATATGACGTTCCATATATGACGTGTTTTTATCCTTTCAGACTGACAAATTAAGGACTACAATGAGCTATAAGGACCTCCACGACTGAGCAAGCAAATTTTTCCAGAATTCACCTTTAATTAAGCCTGATATACTTATTTTAAGTTTAAATAAGCTCAAATTATAATTTAAGCTCGATTTTTATAATTTTAAGAAAACTAACTAAGAAAATAAGCAAAAAACAACAACCATTTTTTAAATAAATCAATTATTTAAACGAAAAAAGAAATTTCCGGTTTTTTTATTTAAAAATTCAAGAAAAAAAATTTTGTTGCATACCTAAAAGGGGCATCTGTTGGCAGCCGAGATTTTTCATAAAATCTGCCAAAATACCAGGCGAACAGAAATGCCCAGAAGGTCGACGCGTGGTTTGAATAAAAATATTCGTTGCATAGCATTAAGGGGCAAAAATGTAACTCAATTAAAATGAGTGCAATTAATTAACAGTTTATGTTAATGATCGCTGTAAGTCGGCTGTTAAACAACAGCTGCAGCTGCTGCTAATGCAAAAGGAATCCTGAAAGAGAAATCATGCATGTTTTTGGACCATTTCAATGCACATTGTGCAGAGATCTGATCCTTTTGGTTTCCAAGGACTATATCAATGGTATGGTATAACCAAGGATATGTTAGTCAACTAGAAACCATCCAGGGGCGGGGCTGATGCTGGGGGAGGCTGTAAAAGAAAAGCATACATGTTTTTGGACCATTTCAATGCACATTGTGCAGAGATCTGATCCTTTTGGTTTCCAAGGACTATATCAATGGTATGGTATAACCAAGAATATGTTAGTCAACTAGAAACCATCCAAGGGGCGGGGCTGATGCTGGGGGAGGCTGTAAAAGAATAGCATACATATTTTTGGACCATATTATACATATTTTGGACCATCTATTTGCAAGTAACCGGTCCTTTAAGTTCGCTAGGACTATATCCATGATATAAAGTAACCAAGGATATATTGGTCAGCTAGGTACCATTGATACCGATCACTTTATGATTATATGTTGTCCATTTAGCAGCAGATTTAGCTGAAAAATACATAAAAAAAACAAATTTGCTAATTTAAAATACGTTCGATTTTGAAAAGACATACATTTAAGATATTGCGTAAGCCTTGAAAATCTGCATAGAAATAAAAATTTTGATTTTGTATAGCCGCGCGCTAATCCGAATTTAAAAAATGAAACTGTTTTTTTTAATATCTCAGGTAAATACCTTCCACATTTTGAATCCTTTACAAATTTATATCAAAAAAACTTTCTGTCAAACTTTGCTGATGATTTCTTGAAATATCTCGGCCAAATAATGTCGGCTATCCATACTATTAATTGGCATTTAAGCAAATCAACCATCGATGGGTTAGAAAAAATTGTGGACCCAAAAACGATTCGTTTGTAAAATCAACCTTTCTTGACGACTATTTAGAATAGCTCAACAAACATTGTCAGATTTTTAAATTTTATAACATCTTGGACCCTTAAGAACCAGTAATATCATTAAAATAAAGGAAAATTTAGCTTTGACGTAAATCGAAAAATAAGCAAGGTGACGTTCAAAGCTTTCAATAAGTAAAAATATGTTAATAAATAATTTAAATTTATGAGATATTTAAGCTTTACATGCCGAGGCTCGAAGCAATATAGAGCTCATACATGTTGAATATAAAATTTAAGTCGAGGACTTGCCAAACCGAATTATGATTGTACTCTTCCCGATAATCCGTTACTCAATTTACCGTCACACTCAATTAACAAAAGTGAAAATTAAGTATTTCCGGTTAACATTGGGTTATCCAGAAAATATATTTATCGGCATCGGGCTTTTGTGTATATCGAAAGATTTTATGCTAAGATCCTATGTATATAAAAAAATTGTTAAATAAAGAAATAAAAAGAAATTAATCCGAAAGCTTATTTATACGCTGTTTACCATACTTCAAGCAAGTCGTCATGCAATAACCCCTTCGATAAATTGTTAATATCCTCGATGCTTTGAACAGGGCTTGTTAACTGCATTTGTAAGCCAACTAGCGAGTTTTAGACGAACATTTGTTGTTGTTGTTGAAGTAGTTGTTATGTTGCCCGACTTATTGGCTGGTTGTTATTGCTAGGCAGGATGCCATCAACAACATCATTGTCGGCACCATCAACGTTGATGGCCTGTTAAATTGCCTGTTTTGTGTTTGTTGTCTCCGCGTGCCACGTGTGGCAGAGGCAAAGGCACAGCCAGTGGCTGCGGCTGTGGCCGTGGCTGTGGCACGTGTGCTGCTGACTTGGTTAGCACATGCGAGAGCTGCTGTTCAGGTGTGCGTGTCGCCTACATTATGTACATTAGCGCACATTATGAGAATGTTTGCTGACCCCTTTTTGCCTGCACGAAAAACAAGCACACCCACCCACACATCAACACACAACTGTAGCACTTTTCGACTGGACACTGAAACATTTCGTGACCCGTTTGGCAAGCATCCAGCGAATGACAAGCGTGGAGGCTGACGCTGACATCTGACATCTGACATGCTTCAGCGTGGAACAAAATGATTTTTGACTCAAATTAGTCGCTTTGCTTCGCCTGTGGCGGCAACTGTCTCATGCAACACGCTGCATGCTGTTAATCCAATGAAAGCAGTGAAAAATTAAGTTAATTACGACTCACCTGCCCACTCCAAATTTCTTTGTGTATGTGTGGGTGTGTCTGTGTGGTTAACTGACCCTCGGGCGGGCATGTTGCTAAGTGTTTACGTGTTCCACATGCCTAATGCATCCTTGTAGCACAGAAGCTTGGCTGCGGGCGCTTTGAACCAGAAAAACCTTACAATTCCGTCCAGCCAGCACGACAAAGTGCAACAGCATCTACAGTGGCTACTGAAAGTTAATGCACGCTTTTAGGCTGCCACTTGATATGCATTCTATGGAGCGCATGTCCTGCATTATATCACGGAATCGGAGAGATGAGCTTTAAATATACTGGATACTTATCCGCTGTATCCAAGGATATTGCTCCTAAAGCGTGTCGCTCTGCCTCAAGCGAAGTCTTCTTAAAATTTTTAGACATTAAAACTTTTAACAGCAAGTTGAGGATTCGAATCTGGACGAAAATGGAAATAACGAGAAGTTAGTTGCTTGCGATTGCCTTTGAGTTCTTAAAAAGATACTTTTCTTTTGATTAGGAAGGTATTTTTTGAAGATCTGGACAGTAAGATTTGTTAGCTTAATAGCTTAATTAAACTTCTCGCTTGTTGTAAACTTTTCTGATTAGAGGCTAAGTCCTGGTAGATTGATAGGAAAGATTTTTATTGCTTTCTTCTAAAAAGTATTCCACAATTTATATTACCTATTTTCTCTCTATCTCTCTCTCTTTCTCTCTCATACTCACTACATCCCTTTTTATTTCTCGACTTCCGTTTCTTCATTTTAGCTTAAGCCAGGTTAGATATAAGTAACTATCTTAAGTAGCTTGTGAAGCTGAACTTCCCTTGCCCAAAAAATACTCTGTACTATTTGCTATAAATTTAAGATCTATCTTAATGCAATACTCCACTTGAATTTATACAGTAAGCGATTAACATAAATGCACACAACGCAAAGTAATTTATAAATTGAGTCTTACAATCCAATAATTTATGTGGCAATACTTTATTACAATAATATTTATGTGCGTGCAGTCTGTTGCACTCTGTCATGTCCTTTCAGAGAGACTTGGCTTGACAGTTGCTGATCTTTTTATTGCCCACGCAATCAGCCACACACACACACACACACAGAGAGAGAGAGAGAGAGAGAGAGAGAGACATGCACTGGAAATTGTGGCGCAACTTAATGACCAAATATTGTTGGTTGTTGGCTGTTGGCTGTTGATTATTGTTGTTATTGTAATCCATTTATTAAACATAATATTCACGCATAAATTTAAACACCATTTGAGAGAGTCAGTTTTTATTTCTGTTATTTTTTGCCAACAGCAGCAGCAGATGTTGTTGTTATTGTTGTTATTGCTGTCTGCAGTTGCAATTAAAATTCATTGTTATGTGCGGCTCATTTTGACTTTTTGTTGTCCTGTCGTTCCCCATTGTCCTACGAGCTGACCCAACGTGGTTAACTCCGCGTTGCCGAACAATTTTCAGTGCCA